AAGTGAAAGCATTTGAAGATGTTAGTTATAGACAGAAATATGTAGTGGGCTAAATATAATCCAACTAGAAGGCTGGTGCACAAAATTTCGTGCATGGGGGGTGGGGTGGGGGGTTGGGGGTGTCCCCCAGCCTGGCCGGGCCTTCTCACGGTCCAGGACCCCTTTGGGGGATGACCAACTGCCTGCTTAGGTCTGCTCCCCGGGGAGAGTGGTCATAAGCCAGCAGTCAGACAACCCTCTTGCAGTCCAGGACCCCTCGTTCCTATATCTCCCCAGCTTTGAGCCTGGATTCTAGCTAAGCAGTGCTCCCCCTGTGGGAGTGCACTGACCACCAGGGGACAGCTCCTGTGTTGAGCATCTGCTCCCTGGTGGTCAATGCACAACATAGTGACTGATCGTTCTGCCGTTTGGTCAATTTGCATATTAGGGTTTTATTATATAGCATGTGAATGGATTAAGCAGGGATCTTGATTAACATTTCTCATTTCACTCATTCTTATCTCTCTTTCCATTTTTAATTTAAGAAATAAGGCATTTCTCTAGCTACCAGCATCTCACCCTTTGGGTGAGAGGTGGATGGAATGGGAAGAGAGATAAGAATGAGTAAAATGAGTAATGTTAATCAAGATCCCAGCTTAATTCATTTACTTTGACTTTATCAAAACTTCTCAGTTTTCTCCTAAAATTTTTCAGTGTGATTTTATTCCATGAAAACGAGAGTATTATTTACAGATGAGATGTCAGTTCATTTTATATATATATATATATATATATATATATATATATATATATATATATACATGCTGAAAAAGGTTCAATATAATGTAGGCTTGGTTTTCTTTTTCCTTTTTTTTTTTTGCTTAAGAAATCCAGGCATCAAAGATTTACACTTTAAAAAAAAATCCATGGGTACTTAAAAAACCTTTTGAGATTGCATCCTTATTTCCACTACTACTTCAGATCAAGTTACACTTGTGCATGATATGACCTCTCAATTGTTATGGACTTCTTTAACTTTTGCTTTTAGTCAACAGGTTTGTTTGTTTTTGCGGGGGTTGGGGGAATATAAAGAAACAAACCCTGTTTATAGAGCACATTAAATTCTATAACTTATGCAAACTCTTTCAAATTGTGTCCAAAAACTCATTGATGATCAGTTTGCTAAATTAAAGATGGGAAGTGTTTCTAAAAGAAGTAATTAAGAGATAAATCAATGCAATTCAGCAACTCTGAAAGACTTCCAGGAGCAGTCTCTATAAACAAGCAGATAGACTCACTTCATGAATAGTATCATTATAATAAACTATTGCTGAGGGCCCATTATATCCAGAAACATTTATTTTATTTATTTCATTTAAGCCCCAAATCATCCCATGAGATATTTTCACTTCATGAGGTGTCCTGTTCCAATATATAATTGATCTCCTTGGGTCACATGATCAAGGGTGCCAAAGATGGTACCCAAACCATGGCTTTACCCATAAGATCCCATGCTTCTTATCTATGTTTTAAAAAAAAGAAATTAAAACCCTTTACACCAACCACTTCTTTGCTAGGTGCTTCATCAAGGTCTTCCCATTGACCCCCCTTCACCTTTACTTCCAAAATATTGAATAGTGCCACAGAATGAAATGTGTGCAAAGGTGTCTGTCCAAAGATATTGATAGCTTCTTCTGTAATTTATAATTTTTAATTGAAACTTAGTGATTACATAAGTATCTGAGAGTTTGGAGAAAGTAAATTCTACTCCCAAAGTATGTTTGGAACCCAAAGATCTTACTGTGATCCAGAGCCAGATTTTGAAATTTGCAAATAGATGTGGTTTGAGTTCCACCTTTGTATTGTGTACCTGTGTGGCCCTGGATAAAATAGCGAGGAGATCAATTATTTTTAACTTTAATCTGCATGTTGTGTCATGTGAACATAGCCTTGAAGTATCTTCAAACCAAAGAACATCTTTCATGTTTTGCTTCATGCCTTAAGTTTTATTCTAAGGCAGAGAATATTATCATTATTTAGAGTATTTCTGGAATTTGAAGCAGTTAGGTCATTCCTGTAAATGTCATGGAGACAGGGCTTTCAGTGTCACTCAGTTCCCTTCCTTCCTCTTACTTAAAACGTTGTCATTCACCATCACCCACTACCTTCATGCCATATTCAATATTTACTATGCATCATAAATTTTTGGAAGAGGGACAAGATTCTGGCTATTTCAAAACTATTAATCCTTCCTTAACGGAGACAGTTTGAGAGTCTGTTTCCCACACTACAGACAAAGATTTTGACTGAGCATGCTGCTCAAACTTTAGCAAAAAATAGAAATCATTCATCATAATGTTATATGTGTATTGTTATGGGTTGAATAATTTTGTGGTTAAAGCTTTACTTATAAGCAATGTATCTACATCTATATCTATATGTATTCATGTGACATATGAATCTGCAATGTGAAACCCACAGATACCAATGGTCTACTGTAATTCCACTTATGTTATTTGACATTTGACTTTTCAGTATCAATATATTCCACACTCTGGAATTTTTCTAGTGTACAGAAAAAGTCAATCATGAACTTGGGAAAATCTGTTCTATACACTTGTGGAAAAAATATTTTCTTAGTTTTCAACTTGCTTTCAAAAATAGTTGTTTTAATATCATAATTCATTATCCAGTATTCAATGATTATCCACTAAGAGAAAAATGGACCAAGATGGTGGTTACAAAGGTTCAGGGTCTTATTTTTTTTCTGTCAGGATTAATGTATGCACAACATCAAGCATGTGTCAAGTAGAAAAAGGACTGCAAGGATCAGTAGGTGTAGTGAGATTAGCATTTTCAATGGCTGTTCTTGACTTTGTAAAGGAGTCATTGCCTATCTGGATCCTTTACCTGACCCCAGGAAAAGCTGCTTCAGTTCAGTGTGTCAGTGGAAATATAGGGGAGTGGTCACACACGTTTGCTAATAAGTACTAGGCACTGATATCATTCTCACATAAGATACATGTGCATGGCAAGGAAAAATCCTACAGACTATTCCAACCTTAACTGGCTTGTGGGAGAGAAAGAAGTCACACCCCTTCTTTCCTTACATCCATTCTTCACCTAAGTTATAGTTTACTTACAATTAATACTGCATTGTTTCTCCCAGTTCTTGACATTGTCTTTTGGATGATTTACCTCTCGTATGAAGTAGTGGTGGTTTTTGTTATCCCTCTTTTGGCTGCCATTCTCCCCAAACTAAAGCTAAGTGGAACCTTCCAGTCCTCTTCTATTGGAAAAGAACTTGAACCAGTTGCAAAAGATACTGCGGGAAAGCAAAACCCTACTTGTTAAGGAATACGCTTTTCATTGTTTTGCCCAGTGTCTTGTGGGTGGGACTTGTATCTATGTTGATGGGTCATTTTTTCTGAAAAAAAAAAAAAAACAAAAACAAAAAGATAGAAATGCCTCTGGCATGAACAGAAGCATAAGGGGCACTGAGAAACTGTGGAGTGGCTTTTGCACAGCAGAGGTAGACAATGGTCATAACAAACTTTTCCTGGGCCATATGACTCAAAGTCTTGAAGATGTCAGTTGAATAAGAGCTCACCGACTAAGTTCTTCCTCATGAGTCATCCCTCACCCCCTCACCCTCCATTCATCGCCCCCCTTACTTTTCTCATTCCCTAGCTCCACTAAATCTACATTCCACCACTAGTTAGGCTTTTTAAAATGCTCATTTCTATAAGTGTTTAAAATTTGCAACAATTCAAAGCCCATCCCCAGCTACTTCCCACCCACATGTGTCCCTAGAAATAGTACCATATTTCTGTAAATCAAAATTACTCTCTCTCTACGTGTGTGCACATGTGAATGTGTGTGCATGCGTGAATGTGTTTGCATTTGTATGAAAAAGACAATTTTTTAAAAAGGAACAAAAAGTAGAGAATTTTGCATTTTGGTGGTGTTTATGTTTTGTTTTGTTTTGTTTTTTGTATTTGCGCAGACCATTTTAGGATTTGCAGTCTCAACAAAACACTATTAAAACAAAGAATCTAGTAAAATATTTGTGCATGTTCTGCTAAACAATTCTAGCAATTTTATTAAGCAATACCTTTATTATTTTTGAATATTCTTAACAGACTGGAACAAAACATTTTTTTATTCAAAACAAAATATGCATACTGTACGCATGTCGCAGGGTTAAGTATGATGCAGAGATTAAAGTTTGTTTGAACAAAAACAAATGCCTGGGGGAATTTCATAGCTATAAAGTCAATAACTAAATTTTGTTCGCTAAGAGGACCTTTTCTATGGTTTTCCTTCATCTCCCAGCTACACAGCAAACATATCTGAAGTGCACTTCCCAAGTGTAGTTAGAGAATAGGAAGGAATGTAAAGTATTTTTTTAATTATTTGTTTTGTTTGTTTGGTTTTTTAAAAACAGCCCTTATTAACTCTTCCTTCCACTGATTCTACTGTAAACTCATAAAAGCCTTTTTTTATATAAAGCAAATTCATAGACATTCAGCAGGTGAAATGTTCCCACAAAAAGAAAAAAGTACAAACAGAGCAATCAGATTTCTCCTCTTTTCTTCAACTATCTAGAGCATGTTAGAGTGATACAGTTTTTGCACTTGAATGAAAATGGCTAACCTATTCTTTTTTTTAAAAAAAGTTATTTTTTGTGATAATGCAGAATTGCATACACTTTATACCTGGAATAATTTAAAACCATATGTTGGGGAAATACTGGAGTAAAATTGTGTATATTCTGTATACTGCAGGTGTTTGAGCATCTCTACTATCTCCTTTGTCAACAATAAAGGAGGCAAAATAAATCCAGATGTGTGTTCTTGGCCTCTTTGTCCCCATTACAAGGGCCAAAATGGGCTCCCAGGTTACTGCAACAGAACTGAAGTCACAGTGAAAGTCCACCTTCCGAAGGACTCTCTGCCTCTTCTCACCCTGATGCGAGGTGGCCACTCGGAGCCACCTGATCAGTGAGAAAGGACCGGGGCCTTGGGGAACGGGAGTGGGAGCGAAATAGTTCATGGTAATTTTCTTTGCTTTTATTTTGTTTTCAACATAAAAATGTGTTCAACTGTCTGATTCCACCTATCATGGGGAACACTTGTTTGTTCAGCTAACCCCCTTGTCTGCTCCGTTGTGGGTTTGTGCAACAGCGGCTCAGAGGCCCACCAGAGCGTGCACGCCCATTCACCATGGCCACACAGACAGAAGCAAGCGGATGTTGTCTGCTGAGGGGAGAGAGGAGGGCCAGGGGAGGAAAGGCCGGGGAGGGTGCAGGTTCCCAAGGCAGGAGGGAGAGTTAGGAAATTCTTTTTAATTTTTTTTCTTTTTTTTGTCTTTTTTTTTCTTTTTTATGATTTTTTTTGTTTGTTTATTTTTTGCTATACCACAAAGTCATAGCAATCATTCCTCTAATAGAAACTGACAGGACATAGAGACAGAACTATCTGATGAACATACACAATGACTAGAAATATATATATATATATTAGAGAGAGAAAGACAGTGAAAAGACTTAGTTTACCTCTGAGAAAGCATCCCCCAAAATAAATCCTGTATTAACAAGTGCAAAAAACAAACAAACAAAATCAACCCAAACCAAAACCAAAGCAAATTAAACGTCCAAACATTAAAACACAGTGTATAAAATGGTGTGAGAAATAGAAGTCACTTGGCAGCCTTTCAGTCAATAAAAAGCTGTGTTTGTGTCCTTGTTTGGATTCAGGCCCATCTTTTTCAATGTTACCCTACAGGCCCTGCAAGAAGTGATTGGAGGGTAAAAGCACCCAGTCCCTGTGACATCTGACCAGTTGCGCTTTCATGGTGGGCCAGGGCTGCTCTGGTGACACTTTGTGGTGACACTCTGTCCTTCCACTGTTAGTCCTCATTGGCTGAGCTTTCTTCCAGCGTGTTGATGCCTCCAAAGCTCAGTGCCGTGGTGTTCTGTGCTGCTGAGGCTGTGAGCACTGTATGTAAGAGAATCAGTACCAGAACACACAGTTTGAGTCTGCTGTTGCACAGTCTTGTTGCTGAGGAAACTGTGAGCGACGTCCTGTGACAGGAGCCACTGTTGTCCACCGTTCCTTTGGATGGGTTGTTTTTTTGCTCCTGTCTCCTGACGTCACAGCATTCTGGTTCATCATTGGTTAGAAAGGTCTCGTAGAGCCCTGCAGGATGAAGACAGTGGACGGTTAACAGGAAAGGAAGACGTGGGAAGGAGCTCATAGTAGAGAGAAGCTGTTACGTCAGTGTTCTGATCCACTAAAATCATACAAGCAATGCAACGTTTTGTAAAAGGAAGGAAGGTCAAGACAGTCTGGATAAATGGCCAACCATTCTCTCAAACCATCACTTTTTTTTTTAAAGTCAGGGTTTTTTTTATTTAATACATTCTAATCAAATAGTAACAGCAGTAAATAAACACTTTGAAAAACAGGCAGGTATCCCCTTATATCTGGAAGAAAATTAAGTCAAAGTTTTCTACATGGTAGAAGGGAGACAACTGCTGATGTCTATAGTTAGACAATTCAAGGACAACTTACAAACCAGCACTTTTAAGTTGTGTTCTTTGTATATTCCTGGTGGTCATACCATGAAAGTTCTGGGTTGTGATGAATATAGAATGAAAGATGTTATTAGATCAAAATCAGAACCTGAGGTTCTAGATCAACTTGGTGACCAGGGACATGCCACTATCCTTTTTCTTTAACAGGAAAATGACTAACTAATGCAATTCCTAAAGTAACATCAACTAGTTGTGCTAAATGAAATAACTAACCAATCAAAATATCATAGCTTTAGGAACCATGTTTCCTAATTGTTTCCTCTCTTGAACCTCACTATGTCTTCTATCCCCCTGTCTTGGGGGGCAGATAGAGAATGGGCATAACTATCTACACATCCAATGGGTGACCATTTCCTTTTGATTTATTTTCTAAATGTTTCTTTTATTCTTCCATATGCTATTCTATTGATGATTGCCTAATGGGACCAGTTGAGGCTTAAATGAAATAAATAATATAAATGTATCTTTCACCTGGACCACTACAGGAGGACACTCTCTGATCTTGATTTTCTCCACTTCCAAAAACTATCCTCCCTCAGCATTGCCTTTCAGTGAATACCTGTCCATCTCACACCCTCACTCTCGCACTCTTTCTCTCTTGTTTATTCCCTCCTGGAGAGCTTCTTCTCTTGCTCCCTTCCCCTTTTCCTTCTTCTTTTAAAATTACACATTGTTCTTATTTTACAATTGATAGATGGGTAGTTCTGAAACTTTCAAAGTGGTGAAAAGAGTAAAACAACTGGTGCCCTAGTGGCTCAGTTGGTTGGAGCATCATTCTATACATTAGAAAATGGTTGTGTGTTTGACTCCTGGTCAGGGCACACCTAGGTTGTGGGTTCCATCCCCAGGTAGGGTGCTTATGGGAGGCAACTGATCAATGTTTCTCTCACATCAATGTTTCTCTCTCTCTCTCTCTCTCTCTCTCTCTCTCTCTCTCTCAAATCAATAAAACACAACCTCAGATGAGGATTAAAAAAAGAAAGAATAAAATAACTGGCTACTCGTTACCTTTCAACATTGTTTCTTGCTATATTATACATATGGCATGTTTTATGTAGTTGCATAAGCCATTTTTTCACTGGACTGAAACATTGTCTCAAACTGATAGAATGAAGTTTCTACACAAATTTTATTATATTACACTCAAGCTTGAAAAACTGAAAAATAAGGATAGAGCAATTGGAAGGATTAGATTTTGAATGTAAAGTTCTTGGCTCAGTGCCTATCACATAAATATGCTTTAAAAATTGGCTACCATCCTATATATTAAAGAGGTAATATGCAAATTGACCATCATGCCCTAACACAAGATGGCTGCCCCCATGTGGGCACAAGATGGCCAGCAGGGGAGGGCATTTGGGGCGATTAGGCCTGCAGGGGAGGGCAGTTGGGGGCAATTGGGCCAGCAGGGGAGCAGTTAGGCATCTATCAGGATGGCAGGGGAGTGGTTAGGAGGTGATCAGGCAGGCAGGCGAGCAGTTGGGAGCCAGCAGTCTCGGATTGTGAGAGGGATGTCAACTGTCGGTTTAGGCCCAATCCCTGTGGGATAGGCAGTCGGACTTCTCCCGAGGGGTCCCAGATTAGAGAGGGTGTAGGCTGGTCTGAGGGACACCCACCCCCCCAGTGCACGAATTTCATGCATCGGGCCTCTAGTTAATAATAATAGCAATTAATAGTGTCTCATGACGCCACATAAATAATACATCTAAAATATTCTTTCCTCTCTCTCCAGACTTATCGCTCACTGTTCCAGCTATCCTGAACTCCTCCCGGTTCTTTTCAGAACACGTGGTACTTTCACTCAAATCTGTATCATTGTCCAAGCTGCTGGTATATTCTCCATCAACTCATATACCTATTCTCATTTTTTTCTTCAAGTTCAGCTCACAGGAAATTCCCTGTGTGAAGCCTGCACACACATGCCTGGGCTGTGAATGCATTTTGTGTAACTTCAATAGAGCAATTATTATTAGTTCTTTTACTCTCAATTGCTCATTTTCATGTCAATTTCCTTACTCATCTGTCAACTTAAAAGCAAGAACTATATATTTTCAGCTTTGCGTTTCCAATGGGTTGCAGAAGACCTGAGCAAAACAGATACTTGATGAGCATTTATTATATGAATAAACTCAATATATATTTATTTAATAAAAATAATCTATTAAATGATATACACTGCAATCTTCAGTTTCTTTGAAATAAATGACCAATATATCCTTATAATGATGCTTACAATATTCATTTCTTCTTAGGCATTCAAAGGTAAACTTCACCTTCGCCTAGATAGAATATGGAAAAAAAACTGAATTAATGAGGTCTGCAGCTGCGACATTTTCATTGTATGATATTTTCTTATATCATATAACTACTGGTAAGACTAATCATTTATTGAAGTATAAGTTTTCCAAAATTATATTCTATACAGAAAAGAGTTTACAGTTAAGATGATAAGAATAGAAATCTAAAGGTCATTTAGATCAATGTTTTAGAATGTTCATAGTCAGAAAATGTTTAATAATGTCACCCCAATAAGAAGGTCTTCCAAGTTAGCTCAATAGCTAGATTGCTGATTTACAATTATCAGTAAAGTCATTTCAGAAAAGATAAAGATGTTCATTCAAACAAATATATGTATTCCTCTTTTTGACTGACAAAGTGAATACTCTATTTCCCCTGTGCATCTTGTAATTTGAATTTTTATTCAGAGTTATACATGCATGTATTTTAACAACCAAATAATTCTGTAAGACTTCTTACAAAATAATAAAAAAATTCCCCCCCATCCTGAATTCTTTCTTCTTAGAGGCAACTGCCACTCTTTTAGCGTTTCTGTATTTAACACCATATTGTAAATAGCCTACTTTGTGCTTTTCTTGAGTTTTCATTTTGTATGTGAGGATAAAACATTCATTATCCTGTTTCCTCAGCTTATATGATCCCCACCATACCGCCACCATCCCCATTCTGCCCTGGTAGTGAGTTCAGTGTTCATTCTTTGCTTTATTAGGATGTTGTAAAAAAAATGCTAATTTAGCCAAGTAGTAAACTTTAGTTTCCCATTATTAAACCAATGTTTTCCTAGAGTTAATATCTTACAGTTTTCTATGTACTTATTAATTCAATCCCAAATATTTTACCAGTTATTTCAATTGAGTCAGATGTTCTATCGGTTTTATCGTCCTGAAGAAATATATCCTGGAGCCTATTATCTGGACTGGTTGTTTTTTTAGGCCTGGTACATAGCTACCAGCCTGAAAACCCTAATGAAGCATCATTTTGGGATGTTTGCTACCTCTCTCCTCTGGACTCCCTATTTTCTGTATCCTCTGCCTCCTTTTTCAATTTGGACCATGTCATCTAGTATCTTCATATGGAAAAGCTCATGGGAGTAAGTTTCTAAGATGCTGTATGCCTAAAAATGTGTTTATTTTGCTGCATATTTAATTGATTGTTTGGCTGAGTATGGGATTCTGGTTTAGAAAATTGTATCCTTCATATGTGCTTGAGCATCACTCCCACATTAAGTTTTTGGTCCTCTGGGACCTGCCCTTTAATTTTGTTATCTCATCTCTCCTATTTGATATCACTTCATCCCTTGCTCTGTATTCTAGAGGATTTGGTGAGCTTTATCCTGTAATAATTTTATTGAGTTTTTCTCTTTTTTTTCTACCACATTTTAATTTTCACGGGCACTTTTATGTATTCTCAATGTTAGGTTTTATTTTTTAAGTGTTCTCATTTCATAGTTGCAATCTATTCTTTTATTGCTCTCAGATATTTGCAGCTATTTTATTTGTCATGTTTTATTTCCTCTCTGCATAGGCTCTGTTTTCTCCAAATCACTTTGTTGGTTTTGTTGTTGTTGTTGTTGTTGTTGTTTGTCTCTTATTTTTTTACATGGGAAGTCTGCACATTCTAGATTGTCTGCTTACATGAAAAAGTATTGGGATCTCGGCACCTAAAAAGGATTGTGAGCTGTGAGCTACACTGTAGGATGACCTGCCTCAACTGCTTTGATGGAGACATTTTTTAAATGATTTCCTTAGGTTGTTTGGGTTACCCAGGAAATATCCAATACCTGTTCAGGAGTGCGAAAGCTGGGGAGCCAGTTTCCTGAGAGATAGATGGGAGAAGGCACTGGGATGGGGTAGGGGCTGGGGGAGAATCTCAACCTTTGGTGTGCATGCGGCACTCACTTAATCCTCATTTTGGGCCCCTACCTTAACTCCTCCTGGGGTCACACAGGACAATAATGTTCTGCAGTCATCTCTGAAAATATAGATCCCATCCCACACACAAATATTCCAAGTCTTTTCTCTAAGGTGAGGAAGGGGGAATTGCTAGGTTGGAGAGGTGGGCACGGGCTATGGAGATGTAACAGCTTCTTAAACATATTTTGTTGCCTCCTCCAAACATCTTCCACTATCAATTCTTGTGCCTGGAGGGAGTCTGGGAATTACAGATGTGCAGGTTATAAATCTGGTTGACGCTTGGTTTCCTCTCTGTTGCTTCCTGCCCTCAGCAAATCCTTGAGCACGCATCTATGTTCTTTCTTGTGTCTAAGAGGTTTTTGGTTACTGTCTCCTTATCTATTCTTCTATT